GATGACCCCTCTGTTCTGTGCCAACTTTTCATTTACATTGGGCTCAGGGGCATATGTATCTTTTACAAAATTTGTTTTGTACTCTCCAAAGAGTTGATCTTTTAACTTTGCATGTTATAGGCATTTTCACATATTAAATTTTCAGGAACCATGATTTTTAGTAGCTACACGATCACCTCTATCCCCAAATTATACCATCATTCTTAACAGAAACTCTGTATCTCCTAAGCAATGAGTCCTTTCTCTCTTCCAACCACTAATAAACTTTGATCTTTATACAAGTGACTATTCTAGAAATTTTATATAAGTAGAATTATACAATATTTGCCCTTGTGTGACTGGCTTTCTTCACTCAGTGTAATATTTTCAAGGTTCATCAATGTTGTATCATGTGTCAAGACCTGGTTTCTCTTTATGGCTGAGTAATATTCCACTATATATATTTTTATCCATTTATCAGTAGATAGGAGCACTAGTGGTGCTGTGGTTAAAGCATTGGGCTGCTAACCAAAACAGCAGCAGTGTTAATCCACCAGCCACTCTATGGGAGAAAGATGAGGCAATCTGCTTCTCTAAAGATTTATAGCCTTTGAAATCCTGTGGGGCAGTTCTACTCTGTACTGTAGGGTTGCTTTGAGTTGGAATTGACTCAGTGGCAATGGATTTGATTTTTTGGTGTCATCATTTAGGTTGCTGCATCAGCTCTTTAAATCAAACCCCATGTGTGTGCTCACCTCTCCAATGAAACCCAGGTGGTAGCCATGCTTTTGTCACTGGGGTAAGTTACTTCATCTCTGGGCTTCAATTTTCTATTTGAAATGGAGATAAAAATTCACCTTTCTCCCTGATTTTTGTGGAGATGTGTAAAGCACTTGGGGACAGCTGCAACTGCACTATGGCAGTTAGAGTGCATCTGTTTACATGTTACAGAGCCCTCCCACACAAGCTCTTCTTTAGTGGGAAGTGACCAATTGGATGGGCTTCCTGCCCCGCACATCTGGGCGCTTCTCTGCTCCCTGAGTTCTCACAGTTCTTGTGGGATGTCAAGTATAAAGAGCAAAACACTCCTAAATTTTGTGAAAAGGTTCAAACAGCCAACTCATAAATGGCCAATTTATTTAAGGATGAATTGCTACTTTATTAAACCCAGCAATAATTTTTTTATTTTTTTTTAAGGTGACATTTAGTGCTAGGAAGACCTCAGTAAAATGAATAAAATTATCTGGGGTCCTGTCTGGGCTCTGCCACACTCTAGCTGTGCTCTCCTGGGTAGGTCAGGGTACCTCACTGACACTGCTTCCTTTCACAAGGTCACTATGTGCCCAATAGGGGAACCTGCTTGGACGCTATAACAAACCAAATCCAAACCAAACTCACTGCTGTTGAGTCAGGTCCAACTCATGGCGACCCCTCCTTGGGTTTCTGAGGTGGTATCATTACGGAAGGAGCTCTGGTAGTGTAGTGCCTAAGGCACTTGACTGCTAAGCAGAAGGCTGGAAGTTCAAACCCACCAGCCACTCCTCAGAAGGAAGGTTGGGCAATCTACTTCCGTAGTGATACTGCCTTGGAAACTCGATGGCATAACAACAACAACAACAACATCACCACGGAAGTATTGTTGACAAAAGTGTTATAATGTACTGTTGACAAAAGTGTTAATTGTTTTAATCTTTCTAACATGTGAATTCACAGTATATGCTGTGAATCTTAAAAATGACAATTCCCTTGGCACAGTCATCCATCGCCTTCAATCGACTCATAAGAAATTATACATGCTGATACATTAACATATATATTTTTGTATAAAAATATATTTAGGTAGTTTTTCCCTTATGCATGCTATTGGCAAGGAACTAATTTAGAAGTCCTTTGAAACCCCTACTTATTTTATGATATTATCCTTCAATGGCCCATGCCTCCTGTGATGGAGTAGGCCACCTACCATGAGTATGTCATACCAGTGTCATACTTTCATTAATCATTGTATTAGTTCTCTACTGCTGCATAACAAACCACTACAGAACTTAGTGCCTTAGCACAACAGTATCCATCTATTATTTCTCACAGTTTTGGTGGAATAGGAATTTGAGCATAGTTTACATAGGCATTCTGACTCAGTTCTCTCATGAGACTGTGGTCGTGTAAAGGATTGACTGGAACTGAGGAACCTGCTTCCAAGGTTACTCATTCATGCTGACAGGTTGGTGCTGGCTATTGATGGATGGCCCCATTTTCTCTCCATGTGGGCCTCTCCACAGAGTTGTCTGAGTATCCTCAAAACATAGGTTTGGCTTTCCTCAAGTGAGAGATTCAAGAAACCATGACATAGGTGTATGAAGTTTTGGAGATCACACACCATCCCTTCAGCCATACTGTATTGTTACACAGACATGCTCTGATTCAGTATGGAAGGAGACTGCAAAGGGCATGAGTACCTGGATGTGAGGATATTGGAGGCCATCTTGAAGGCTTACTACCACACAGATGTAGTGATCCAGTCAAGTGCTGCTGGAGTTAAAAAGTAAGTTAAAAACTCACTGCTGTCTAGTTGCATTCGACTTATAGCAACTCCTCCCTGGGTTTCTGAGGTGGTATCACTGTGGAAGTAGATTGCCCAACCTTCCTTCCGAGAAGTGGCTAGTGGTTTGAACTGCCAGCCTTCTGGTTAGTAGTCAAATGCCTTAGCCACTATGCCACCAGAGCTCCCCTGGAGTTGATTACCCCATACAATTCAGTGTGTGTAGACAGAACATCCTACGGTGCCAGAGAATGCTTGACACACTCGCCTGCTGATTCTCATCTACCAGAAAGCCAAAGGGCTTCTCACATGTCATTCTCTTTACCTCAATTTTTCCTGCTGACCTCAGGCCCCTGGCCCTTTTTATGTCTGTGTTTTTAATCTGGGGTATAACAAACCCCTTCCCCCCCACCAATGTCAAGATAATCTTGATTTGAAAATGATTCCTCTCCTTGGTGCATTGTACCCATTAGAAGATATGGAATAAGGATTCATCATCATGAATAGTCTCAAACACTTAAGAGGCTTAGAAAGAGTTTAAAAAATAGATCACCCAAAGATAACAGTCCTAGCAGTCCTTTATTGGAGTTCTAGTAACTCCCAGGACCTGGCCAAGTTACTGTATATATGTTACTCATGCCATCCTACACAAACCCTTATGATCTCAGACTTTCTGCCCTTTGTGATTTCAGCATTTCTACCCCCAGTTTATAGAAAGGAAAGTAGAAGTTTGAGGAGTGGGAATTTTTTTGAAGCTTATCCGGAGTCTCAGAAAACTCAGCCAGGATTTGGGGCATGTGTGCTTGATCTCCAGAGCCTTGTTTTTCCGGAACCCCATACTCTAAAGTGCATATTTACATGCACTTTATAGTGTCTGGGAGCTCTGGTGGTGTAGTGCCTAAGGCATTTGACAGCTTCCACAGCCCGGAAGGAATGTTGGGCAATCTACTTCCATAGTGATGTTGTTGTTATGTGCCTCACCAACTCACATCGACTTCTCCTTGGGTTTCCAAGGCAGTATCACTATGGAAATAGATCACCTAACCTTCCTTCTGAGGAGTGGCTGGTGGTGGGTTTGAGCTGCCAGCCTTCTGGTTAGCAGTCAAGTGCCCTAGGCGCTATGCTACCAGAGCTCCTTCCATAGTGATACCACCTAGGGAACCCAAGGAAGGGTCGCTATCAGTTGGACCTGACTCAACAGCAGTGAGTTTGGTTTGGTTTTGGTTTGTTATAGTGTCCAAGCAGGTTCCCCTATTGGGCACATAGTGACCCTGTGAAAGGAAGCAGTGAGATACCCTGACCTACCCAGGAGAGTACAGCTAGAGTGTGGCAGAGCCCAGACAGGACCCCAGATCATGAGTCCATCCCCAGGCCCAGGTCTCTTTCACTCATTCTACAGCTGCCTCTATGGGCTGGAAGTTCAGCTTGGGGCAGATGAAGGAATTCACAATATGCTCACTTGGAGCTTACATAGGAGGTGAGGATGCGATTTATGGTGTCATTCTTCATGTATAAGCGTTTCCTGGTCCTCTTGTCTCTGCCTGAAAACTCTGGGGCTGGAGATAAGGCCTGCATGCTGCACTGCCAGAGGTGAGGACGGGGAGAGGACCTGCATATTGTGTTGCTGGGATTGGAGAAAGGGACAAGGCCTTCATGCTGTGCCACTGGAACTGGGGACAGTCACAAGGCCTGCAAGGTACCACCTGGGCTGGGAACAGGGACAGGGCCTGCAAGCTCCTACTGGGACTGGGGGAGGGGCCTTCATGTCTTGTTGACACTGCTATAGGGTCAGAGGGAGGAGGGCCTATGAAATCCCCATCAATTCCAGCTCTAAGTCTGCATTGTTAGTGTGTCCAAGCTGACACATGATTGTTGGGTCACACCATTGGCCCCCGTTGAAGGCTTTTCCCTATAGGAATTTAGATGTGAATTTATTTTGACAGTCAGTTCCTAGGTTATCTGGAAGCAGAGAGGTGCAGAAATCAAATGCATGGTTTTCTCAATAACAGGAGCTCCTGTCTCAATTGTTCTGGGGCATTTTCAGGTTTCCTCCTTTTTTCAGGGATAAGCTATAATTTCTAGGCCTTCAGAATGTCTTTTGCTTCTCAAATTCACTGCCTTTCTTCTTCAGTTATCACATTTGTCTGGATATACTCCTTCAGAAACTACTCTGTTTGTAATTTTGCTTCCAAGAAATGCCCACTGAATCCATCATAACCTCATCTGTGAGTGGTTTCTAACAGAGAACAGTTTTATTAAGTTGGTGCTTAGGCAGGATGTCTGCACTGCATTCTGTTGCAGTTCTGGATTGCAGGTATAAGTGAACAACTTCTTTCTCCCAGGCAGACACCTTGGTAGTACTTTTGAGAGCTGTCGATAGGATCTGGAGAGAGACCTTCTCAAGGGTTGAGGGGGGTTTGGAGATATAATAAGTATTGCTGCAGGGTCTGCTTAACACATACATTCTTTCTTTCTTTTTCAGTCTGCAAGTATTCCTGCCACAAGAAATGTGAAGCCAAGGTAAGCACTGCCTCTCTTTTCCCATGGGACTTTTTATAGCCTAATTGGCCTTTGTTGAATGATATGCATAGAAGGGAAGGGGGTACTATGTGGAACATGGCCACTGAAATGAAACTCTTAAAGGAAAGTAACTGCTTGTAGATAAATTGTGATGAATTGTATACATTTTTTGTTTCAAGAACAAACTAGAGGGCTATGAAACCCATGCTTTTAATAGTGGAAAATAATTCTTAAGAATTTGATTTGAGATAAAAATAAAGTAATTTTCTACTGGCCCTGACAGCAGGACACTCTAAATGATAAAATGATGCCTTGTTTCTCATTTCATTGACATGCTTTTTAGAGGAGAGAGAGGTGGAATGGAGAAAGTCTAAGATATCAGCCCGCTCATATGGATCTTTCTCATTTTCTCTTGAAAGATAGTTATTCATAGACTGATTGGGATTTTCAACCTATCACAGACATCTGGGCACTCTGGATTAAGCGATACTATTCTGAGTTTGCACATTCCCTGCGAGAGTTGACTTGCTGAATGGCCTTCCTTCCACGTAGCACTGAGGCCCTTGGAGTGCTATGCTGTAATTAGACTTTGATTAGCAGATAAATGAGGTGGTAGAGAAATGGCACCTGGAAAGGTGCTGGTATCCTTTGGTTTTCTAACTGGGTCACAGTAGCTGCTGCACCTCCTAGATTTCTAAGTCTTGATGTTGGTAGGCAGTGGGACCTGAGTCTCTCAGCCCAACACCTTTGTTGGTAGCCTTTGGATATCCCGAGGCTTCCTTCAGTGGCTGTAGGCATAGGGAGATGGGATTTTATAGATTCTAATCTTTTTACTGTATAGACCTCCTGGGTCAACTGTACCCTGGTGCGTTTTAACTCATTCTCAGGTTCTGAGTGCAATGCCATGCTAGAAGCCAACTTCATGTTCATGTGAACTGGCTTCCTGTGGATGAGTTTGCATGGGAATTCCTACCCCATTCCCCTCTCCCACCAAACACACACATGGGCACACTCATACACACAGAGTTTAAGGACTATAGGCATTACAAATATTAAGGGACTTTTCTTTTTAAACTTTTTTGGGAGAATTTTAAACATTTGCAGAAATAGAAGGAACAGCATAATACACCTGCTGTGCTCATTCTCAGCCCCCAAATCAGCATGCACCCTTGTTCGTCCTAAGGCCCCGCCATTTCCTGACTCTTTTGAGAAGTCACAGGAGATACATTTTAAGCTGTGTTAAGAATGAGGTAGGGTGTCATGGACCCATCTGCTATTATTTCCAGTCTCATTCTGGAGAAGGCTTCTTGTTTACAGTTAAAGCAAGACATTTCTCACTCAAACTCATGGGCATGGTGGATTTACTACTGTGGTTTATTTTAGGTCTTCTTTGCCCACAGATATATTTCCTGGCTGTGTTACGTACATTTTTGTTTGTTTGTTTCTTAATGTTTTATTATGTTTTTGGTGACTATTTACACAACAGTTTAGGTTCCCAATGAATAATTTTGATACAAATTGTTCAGTGGCATTGGTTATATTCTTCGTAGTGAGTGACATTCTCATTATTTCCATCTGGTTATTTCCATTAATCTAGTTTCCCTGACCCCTTACATTCTCACCTTTGTTTTAAAGTAATTGTTGACCATTGGGTCTGATACTGAAAGAGCACAGTACTGACAGACAGTATTCATTATTTTCTGAACCAGTTTGTTATTTAGCTACAAAGAGATCTTAGGGGTTAGCTTCAGTTTAGGAATAATTATGGGTTGATGCCCTGGTGCAAACTTAATCTCCTTCTTAGAAAACAAGGGCAGTGTGCATGTTGCATACTAAGCAAATCTCTCACCTGGCGAAGTTGGAAACAGCAGTGCCCAGCTTAAAGATGCCAGTAACCACACCACTTTGTATGTACGTCACTTTAATCCATTTTCTTTCATCAGGCTCCTGTAAGGAGGGTTCACTATGCCTTTTCTAAGTCTCCCTTTCCAGGGCTTCAACCTGTAATTTTTCTCATTCCAGTTATCATTCCAGTATACCCACATTTTGTAAGTTTGAGTCTTCTCCAATTTTGCTCTGTCAGCCATGACTTAAATGGTTTAATCTGATTTGAAACCTTGTTTTGAAGAATCTCTCAGGGCAATAGTTTTAAGGAGTCTTCTAGCCTTAATTGGTCCAATAGGTCTGTGGGTCTTTTTGGGGGTGGGTGGATGGGAATTTGAGTTCTGTGGTTCTGTTCCACATTTTCTCCCATTATATCAGGGTCCATTGCTTGTGACCCTAATTAGAACAATTTGTAGTAGTAGTTGGATACAATCTAATTCTTCTGGTATCAGGGTATGTGGTAGTTAAGGTTATGTGTCAACTTGGCTGGGCCTGGTTTTGAGTGGCTGGACAGCTGGATGTATTTATTCTCCATGATGAGATGGTAATCAGCTCCATGGTGGAATCTTCTGCAGCAGCTGAGTAGCTAGTCTAGGGATGTGGTCTGCTTCCAGTATAGAAGAAGAAGCTTTGAGAAGGGTCTCTAGCCTTTTGGCATTCTTGGACCATGCATGTAGCTGAGTCTCTGTTCAGCAGCCTGCTATGTTTCCTGCTGATATTGGGCTGTCTCTGGACTTGAACTAGTGACCTGCCATGTTGTTTGGTAATCTTGGGACTGTGCCATTTTATTTGTTGACCTTGGGTTTGTCAGCCTCAGCAGCCAGCAGCTGCCTGAGTTAAGAGAAGCCTCCAGCTTCAGTGGGCTGGGAGCAAGAGGCAGAAGTGAAGCCCAAGGTTGAGGTGCTTTCACCCAGCCCTTAGAGCTGGCACTTTGAACTCAGATGTCTAGCATTCTAACCTGTAAGAGAATAATTCCTTGTTTGTTAAAGCCACCCCTTTGTGGTATTTCTGTGAGAGTGGCACTAGAGGACCAAAACAGGGTGGGTGAGGCTGTGTTTAATGTAGACTATTTGTCCTGTGAACTAGTTTCTTCTTTGAGTCTTTGGTTTCCTTCTTTCTTTTTTGTTCCAGACAAGTGGAGACCAATAGTTGTATCTTAGATGGCTGCTCACAAGCCTTTAAGACCCTAGATATTACTCACCAAACTAGGATGTAGAAGATAATTTTAAGAACTATATTATGCCAATTCACTGAGATGTCCCACAAGACTATGGTCCTACTCCTTCAAACCCAGAAATCCAATCACATGAGCTCTTTGGTTATTTGTAAGAAATATCCATGACTGTGCCACCTATGTACTTTATTTTATATATGATTATATGGCCATATAGTCACATAGATGCATATACATCTGTAAATAGGGAGAGTTTTACTACTTTTCCAATCCTGATACCTTTTATTTGTGTTGTATACTTTTGATCTGAGCAGTTAAAGTTGGAGTAGTGATTCATGTACATAGTATGTATGGGGAATTTGAGCCTCAGGGGGAACTTCCAGATTCTGCAGAGGATTGTCCCTGCTCCGGTCATGAAGATTTCAATGTGCCCCCTAACCATGAGACCCTCGGTTGTAATGAGCATTGTAACTCATCACCTACTGTGGGCTAGAAAAGAGGCAGAAAAGCCTTCTTTGAGAGATGCGGCCTGTCCTGTAACATGTATGTCTCCTCCTGGGACAGTATGGTTGGGCTGCCTATCTCTCACCTGCAGCTGAAGAAATGAGCCCATTTCTTGAACTAGGTCCCTCCTAGGTTACTTGCAGGATTGAATTATTCAGCTTAAAGGGTATCCCAAAAGCTTAACTGTCACTGACTGTGGCATTTCTAACTGCAAGTAATAATTGGTAGTTTGCTGATAGATAGATATGCTTTTACTCACATCAGATCATGGCAGGAGAGAAATGTATCTCTATTCATTTTATTTGATAATATAACTTGAATGTTGGGAGAGAGACTGTCATCAGTAATAACAAAGAATCTTCTTATTCCAAAAATATAATGCTATCATTGTTGAGGATATGAGGGCCTTGAGTTCTCAACTCCCCTTCAGAGATAAGCAGGTGGGAGAGTGCTCACTCTTTAGAAACTGAGCATAGCTGCTCTAGAAATTGAACTTTACTATAGTCGGTTTTTGGCTTCTTGATTACCATATATACATATGTTGCTGTTTCTGTTAAGTGCCATTTAGTTGGTTACTACTCACAGTGACTCTCTGTACAAAAGAATATTACACTGCATAGTACTGCACCATTCTCACAATCATTGCTATGTTGGAGCAATTGTTGCAGCCACTACTCTCCTCTTTTTTTCTTACCCTTTACAAAAATGATGTCCTTCTCTAGGAACTGGTTCCTTCTGATAACATGTCCAAAGTACATGAGATGAAGTTTTGCCGTCCTTGTTTCTAAGGAACATTCTATCTGATTTGTTTGTTGTCTTAACCGTCCATGGTACATTCAATATTCTTCACCAACACTGTAATTCAAAGGCATAAATTCTTCTTCAGTCTTCCTTATTCATTGTCCAGTTTTTGCATGCATATGAGGAGATTGAAAATATTGTTGCTCAAGTCAAATGAACCTTTTTCCTCAAAGTGACATCTTTGCTTTTTAACACTTTAGAGAGGTCTTTTTGAAGCAGATTTGCCCAATGCAATACATTATTTGGTTTCTTGACTGCTGAATTATATATATATATATATATATAGTTGTTTTTATGTGCTGTTAAGTCGGACCTGACTCATAGCGACCCCTCCTTGGGTTTCTGAGGCAGTACCACTATGGATATAAATTGCCCAGTCTTCCTTCTGAGAAGTGGCTGGTGGGTTTGAAACGCCAGCCTTCTGGTTTTATTTATACACACATACACACACACACACACATATGTAGTAACTTCATGGGGTCCCTAATACATACATACATATGGCAACCACATGGGTTTCCTACTATATATGTTTATATTTGTGGTAATTCCATGGGCTCCCTAGTGTATTTACATATATATATGGTAACTTCATAGCATCCTACTATATACATATGTATATAGTAATTGTGGGGAG